CCTAGACTAAACCTGTCAGAGTGCTCACATCTTTGTCTTTCCTTTCAAAATTCTATCAGCAAGTGTGTTTTCCTGGGGAGCCCCATCTGTCCCTGCTCCTCTGCTGCCTGGGCGCAGTGGGAAATTGTCCGGCATCTGTGGGTGTGGGCCGGGTCCTGAGGCTAGTTTATGGGAGGGATGTTTCCGATCCAGGACAAGCTAATGGAATGAGTCGTCCTGTGGGCAGAGGGCAGATACAGATATGACTGGAGGTGTTGTGACTGGACGCCAGGATGGAGTGGGACAGCGACTGCAGCCCAGGCCACCAGCGGGCCTTCCTGTTGTCAGTGGGGCCGAGGCAGGGATGTGAAGGGGTACCGGGGGAGTGGAGGCCCAGGAACGGGACAAGTGTGCGGGCCGTGGGGGAGCTTTAGTGAAATGGGAGCAGTGTGACCGCCGCTGCTGTTTCCTTTTGTGGGCGCCCTGACCTACGTCCCCTTTCGCCACCAGGACCGTGGAAGCCACCAGCTTCGATTTGTTGCTGAAGACGGACGACGACTGCTACATAGACCTGGAAGCCGTGTTCGCCAGGATCGCCCTCCGGACCCTGCAGGGCCCGAGCGTCTGGTGGGGAAAGTAAGTTCAGCTTGTGAGCCCAGGGCGTTCGTGTGCCTGCGCTACGGCCATTCCCTTAGGACGAAATGACTTCCCTTCATAAGAAGCCGTGGCTGAGACAGGGATGTCCCTGTGGGCTCCTGGGTTACTGTATGTTACTGATCTGTGATTAGAGGAAAAACTAAAGTGAAAAACCAGCTAATGTAACGAAGGCGAGAATGTGATGGCTCTGCCCTCCTGCCCTTGAAGTAAGTGGTTCTCAGATGAGCAGCTGCTGCATGTTATATGTCAGAACGTTTGTTCCCTTTCTGAAGCTTCGTTCTTCAGGAATACAAGATGGGTCAGTGGATTTCTTCAGCAAATACACACACGGCGAGCTGGTACTTTCCATTCAGAAACTACACATGCAACTTTGGGAGAATTTAAGTATATTGGTTTCATATAAAATATCCTACGTAGGCAATTCCTTTCTCAGACTAAACAAAGTCTTCATGCTGCTCCCTCGCTTCTGTTCCTGGTGGTGACGGGAAGCGTGAGACGAGCAGAACATGGTGGGACGTGTGTCAGGCGCACAGGAGGCAGCTCACTCAGTGTCAATCTCAGTTTCAGGCTGAACTGGGCCGTGGACCGGACGGGGAAGTGGCAGGAGCTGGAGTACCCGAGCCCTGCGTACCCTGCCTTTGCGTGCGGCTCGGGGTACGTGGTCTCCCGGGACATCGTCCACTGGCTGGCCAGCAACGCGGACAGGCTGAAGACCTACCAGGTGGGTAGGGAAGGGTTTCTGCCGGAGTGGGCACCAGCCAGCCAGCTTCCCAGACCAGTGCCACCCTGAGCAGGGCCAGCCCCATGGGAAGAGCATGTTCTTTCTGTGAGAATCACTCGATAGGGACACACTCCTGTCCCCCAAATGTGGCGCTAAGTTCTGTTCCTGGCCCTTTCTGTGCCTTATTATACTTTCCGCCCATGTTTACTAGTCCCTGGAGGAGTAGAGATTTATATTCCGAAGGAAGAGGACGAGTGCTGCTTCCGTTTGGGTGACACTGGGGACCGGGTCACCACAGCGCTGCCCAGTGACTCCGTCCAGTGTGTTTCGTGCCCTCAGTGCTGGAGTGTTGGGGCTGTGAGAGCCTTGGTCCCTTGTTGTAGGATGTGCTGTCTCATGTGAACAGCCACCAGCTTTCACTCTCTGTCCGTGTTCACATGCCAGGGTTTCGTGTTAGGTGACAAAACAGAGCAGAAAGGTAATTTATTGCCCATTGAGTAGGTGTGGCTGTCTGTACAGATGGGAGAGCATTTAACCCTTTGATGCATGTCCAGGGTGAAGATGTGAGCATGGGCATATGGATGGCGGCCATAGGACCTAAGAGATACCAGGTAAGCGGGCGTCAGGGGGGCTGGAGAGCCGAGGTGGGGGGCTGTGTCGCCCCTTGGGCGGGAGCAGTGGATAGAAGGTCTTGCGTCGTCGTTGTGCTCGTGACTGGATTCACAGTGATCCGCCTGGGTTCCCAGGCAGCGTGTTTCTGAGTAAAACGATAAGGAAATGTGAATGGAAGTTCTGCCCACAAAGAAGAATTGGGTTTTTATCAGAAATTCTTTGCAGCTTTAACACTTAAAGAATCAGCCGACATGAGTTCCCAGCAGTGTGGGGGGCTGGCTGGTGCAGAGGGAACGCCGGGTGGACCATGGTCAGGCCTCTTGTGAGATACACTGGTCACCGAGCTAGAAAAACAAGAACCGTCTGCACAGACCGACGTGCAGGACGGAGCCCAGAGCCCAGAGAGCAGCAAGCTGGCCTCTGCCGCACGATTTCTGTTGGAGTCTGGGTTCTTGCAGCTCCTGCTTTGGCCATAGGAGGTGCCTGGGGCGGAGCGCGCCCCCCATTTCAGGGGGCGGAAGTGAACCCAGTCGGCTGGTTCAGCTTCAATCGTCCCACTGCTCTGTCGCTGTCTCGGTGCCATCCCTGGTGGCATCTGCTCTGGTTGTGTGTGCGGGCGGCTGTGGCTGTGGCTTCTGCAGACTGGCTTTGGTGCTTGTTTCCTGAGTGTTCTGCAGTGGTTCTCAACCTTCTGGTCCTTTAACACAGTTCCTCATGTTGTGACCCAACCATAAAACTATTTTCGTTGCTACTTTATAACTGTCATATTGCTACTGTTATGAATCGTCATGTAAATATCTGATATGCAGGATGGTCTTAGGCGACCCCTCTGAAAGGGTCATTCAACCCCCAAAGGGGTCGTGACCCACAGGTTGAGAACCGGTGGTTTAGAGGCTCTTGTTCTGTGGCCTCCTGCTCCTTGGGAGCTGGGGTCTGGATGTGAAACGCGTCCCCACAGAGAGAGGATCCGCACCCTGTGCTGCCACGCGGGGCATCGCCGTCCGTGAGCGTTCAGTTCCCACGGGGACTCCTGGGCTCCGCAGACGGGCTCCTGCCAGACCCACAGGCTCCTCCCGACAGCTGTTTTCTTACTGCCCCAGGCTCTGGCCGCTCAGGGTCCTGCCTGGCTGTGGGATCCCGTCAGTCTCCTGGCCCTGGAGTCTCGGGCCTTTAACCCAGCAGCTGCGCACGGCACAGGCAAGGATAGCCCTGCACGGCCAGGCCACCCCTGTAGAGCTGTGGGCCAGCTCTGTGGTGGTCTCGGTTTGAATGGTGGCTCTGGGCTGTATCCGGCTCTAATGCGGGGCGCAGGCTGGTCCCGAGTCCCTCCTGCTCTGCACAGCTTCCCTGTGACCTTGAGCAGGTCCCTCTTAGTTCCAGGTTCTCATTTGTGAAAGTGTCTGCCTCACGGGCTAGTGTGAGGACTAAGTCAGGGAACAGTTATAAAGCACTTGGTACGACCCCGGGACAGGGTCACCTCCCATCAGAACAGCCGCCAGCTCTGGTGGCACATGTGAAACTTTCCATTTGCGGCTTCCAGACCCTTCTTCCCAGGACTCCCCTTAGTGCCGCACTGTGTCTACATTCCACAGTCAGTCGCCCCAAAGCCCGAGTGGTTATCTCTGCAGTGACGTCAGCTTCCCCGGGAGAGGCCAGCCTGTGCGTGAGCCCTGTCTTGTCCTCAAGCATTGACATCCGTCCCGTCGGCTTTGTTTCCCCCAGGACAGCCTGTGGCTGTGCGAGAAGACCTGTGAAACGGGGATGCTGTCCTCCCCGCAGTACTCCCCACGGGAGCTCGCGGACCTGTGGAGGCTGAAGGAGCTGTGCGACGACCCTTGTCAGTGCGAGGCCAGATGAAGGGGACGCGCGGGGAGGGGCTGGGTGTCTGTGGGGACCCGGGGGAGCAGGTGCGGCTGGATGCGAGCTCCCTTGGGAGCTCCAGGCGGGCTCTCCTGGACCCTCGTTGTGTCACTTCTTGTTCGCAGTTTCCTCTTTAAGAATCAACCCTGATGCTGTAGCGTAACAGAAACTGTATTTATCTATCGGGAGATGTGAAAAATACCAAATAGTTTATAAGTCCTGATGCATCGCGTCTAGTTAGCATTCACTAGCTATCATTTTTGGTTAAAAGTTGGCTTGTTCAGAAATCTTGAGTGGCTGAGAGTTGGACTTTCAGCCACCGGATTGCAGAATAGCTTCGTGTAGCACGATTAGCTTCGTCTAGCACGATTAGGACAATTATATGGGCCGAAAAACTCACCGAAATGCTGTGCGATGCTGTGGTCGCTCTGAGCAGTAGTCACTTGTACCAAAGTGTGGGTTTCTGGAAATAACATCGCTTTCTGTGGATGTCTGAGCAAAGGGGGCAACTTAGACCTGGGGAAGAACCCGGTGAATTCTCAGGTCTGGACCTTGGTTTTAAAGTTCATTTATCATTAATGGACAAATGCACGTTTTCTTTTGCCATTTCACACAAATCCTGGGAGTCACAGTTTAGTACTCCTATTAAAAATGCGACATTTTTGTGAATATAAGTAAAATCAAATAATCTCAGGGTTTTAGTGCCAGAGGGAAGGATATTTTTAAATAGTTGACACTTTGAAAGAATTATGCTTTCCTGCTGTCATTGCCTAAAGTTTACCTGATATGAGTGAATTTTGATCAGTGCTGGGAATCATTTACAGAAGAATATAGGCTCCTATAGGGGTAACTGCGGGAGGAAGCATGTAACTGACTTCGAGAAGTGCTTGCTCTGAGCACTGCGACTGAGAAGGGTGATCGTAGCATGTCCGCTGTGCACAGTGGAGGGTGTGCCCTTGAGTTTAAGGGACATTTCCCTAAATGACCAACCAAATCACTTTAGTAGCCTTTTAAACCAGTAGTATCAATAGAGGATTCCATTAACCTGGTCTTATGACAGACATGAACTGTGTTCAGATTTTATTAGACTAGCTAGGTTCTATTTAGTATTGGAATCTTCACATAATGAAATGCGATCACGAACTATAAATATGAAATAAAATCAAAATCATTAGTAGGTACAAAGCCTTTATTGTTGCTATTATGTACAAGCCTAGAAACAGTCTCTTCCCTAAAGAAAAGTACAACCTCTGAGAGAACTGCTCCCATAGGTCATTTCTGCCCGGTGAGCCCCGGAACCACAGTCCAGTCTCTGAGCTGTGTGAGCTGCTGTCACCATCGCACCAGCAGGCTGTCTCCATTCTCCACAGAGTAGAACTGCAAGGACTGCTGGTCATTTTCTAGTTCAATCTCTCTGCCCGGCATCTAAAGTCAGAACAAAGGCTGGGGGTGACTCAGACAGACCTGCCAGAGCGATCACATGCCCCGCCCCAAGCCCGCGGGCAGCCGTGGAGGCGTAGTTGCACAGCTGCCTCTGCTGTGGCCGGGCTGGCGCTCCGGGCAGCTCACCTTGGGGCTCTCGTAGGCCAGCAGCAGGTCCGACACAGGGACCTTGAGGAGGCGGGACAGCAGCCCTTTCACCTTCTGAATCGTCATGGAGTCTGTCAGAGAGAAGCCAGCCGTGCTCTCAGGTGACAGTCACCTGTCGCGAGAGCTCAGTGCAGGACCGCAGGCCCCGTGGCAGCTGAACTGTCACCTCAGAGGCCGGGGAGCAGACCCGGTCTCAGCACCCAGAGCCAGTGCTCGGCCCGTGTGCCCTTGTCAGCGAGTTTTCACACTAATCGGTGGCGTCTAATCCTCCCTCCCTCTTCCCAGTCACCAGAAGTCAGGTCTCTGCAGAGGAATGATGGGAGGAAAATCATTCACTTCTCCTTTTGAATCTCTGTGGTTGTGATGCCCTAACTACAGACACTGCGGGGCCTCTGGAGTGAGGGGTGCCTACATGGTCTGCCGGGCCCTCCCCGCAGGCGGCCGGCAGTTACCACAGCCTCAGGAGTAAACGCTTCGTTTTGTTCAAAAAACACTATGTATGAACTTTTCTCCAAAGATAGTTGTGGTAAATATCGGCTATTTTGATGAGAAACACAGTTTCTTTGAAGCTTTAGCTGGAGGTACAGCAATAGTGAGGTGTTCCTACAAATATCACATGGATTCAAATATTTTTCTATCAAAAACCATTTTTGTAAAGGCTGTCTGTTTTTATGCAACTTGTGATAATAAATGTTCTTTATTTTAGAAAAAAATACCTTTCCTTAAGTGTATGTATTGAATGGCCAACAGACATTTATCATTTTAATCAGCATAATTTGCTCAGGTAACCGCGTCCTTTTGGAAACTCTAGGTGGACTGGCTTCACCGTTTGGGGTGGTCGCAAGCTGACCAGCCGCGGGCCTGGGAGAGGCCCCCTGGGGCTGCGCCCCAGCTGTGCCTTTGCTAACCGTGTGAGCACACGCAGGGCTTCCTGTCAACACAGAGTCCTCCAGATGAGCGTTCGGGGAGTGAGAGGAGCAAGGTCGCCTGTCTTACAGCAAGAAGAGCTAGTGACAACCCCGGGCTCTGCGCGCGACGCAGACGCAGGAGGGGAGGGCGGAGGCTCATCTCTTACCCGGCAGCTGTTTCTCCAGGGCGTTCTGGTCGGGATGGTCAGGACAGTTTATCTTCAGGGCTGGAGGGAAACCAGGGCAGACTGGTTGAGACCGGCTGCAATAGGACTTAAACGGCCTGAACGTTAAGGGCATTGCCAGGTGACGCAGCTGCTGGTACAGCCTGGCTCAGACCCAACAGGGGTCAGTCTTGAAGTTTAAAAGTCCTCCTGTGAACACTTCACTAACATTCACATTACTGACCGCAAAGGAGCTGGACCAACATTCTGTTGCTTTCCCTTCCCCTTCAGTCCTTCCTTTCTTACAAGTTCACTAGGTTTTCAAGTGCAAGACAAGTCACACATTTCCAAATCACAATTCAGCTCACTGCTGAAATACTCCCCACATCTATAACACTATTAAATGGGCCGAAAGCAATGAATTGCTAAAATGTTCAATATAGGAATTTACATGTGTTTGAGAAATTTATCATTTCTTTAAAAACCAATGTACTCGGGCACTTGAAAGAAACCATCTCTATTAGGCTATCGCTCTGTTTCGGTACCTAAGGACTCGAACACAAAGAAGCTGTCTTTGAATTTGGGGTTCTTACTTAGTAGCTGGTTTTTGAGCAAAAATGGTTGTTGTGTTTTGAGCTCCCCATCTTCAGGTGCACCGTATTCTATTTAAGAAATAAGAAACGATGAATGGTAATCCACAGGCCACTGTAAGGGAAAAAATGTCAGGTAAGTGTCAACACAGGACCAGCCCAGCAGCAGCTGGTCCGCTAACTGGATCCACTTCCTGTGGACCCTCCCGCCCTCCGTATGACATCACTGTCCTCAGAGACAGGCAGTGTCCTGACAGACTAGCAAGATGAGGCTGCTTCCAAACACCTGAAGCGTTTGCTCCAAATGTCACCCCTGCTAACGTTTCTGAACTTGAGAGGGAGCTGGTGCTATTTGGGACACAACTCACAGGACACCTTCACCCAGTTCCAGCCAGATTTAGCCATGGAGGGCGGCCCCCGGAACCACCCGCCAACTGGGTCCCCTGGAAACGCAGCCTCAATATGGCACGAGGTGTAAGGACAGCAGCACTGACGCGCCAACGTGTGCTGGGCCCTCGGTGTGAAGGCTGAGCCGAACCTGCAGGGCTGCTCAGACCTTCTCGCCCACCCCAAGTGACTGAGTTCACCGAAAGCAGGCGGGAAAGTGGGCCAGCTAAGGGAGTCATGCGAAAGCAATTCCCAAGGCAGCTTTTCTTCCTCACAGAGATCCAGCCTGAAGCACTAAAGCAGCGAGCTCACATTAGGAAACGTGTGAAAAAGGAAGTCACATGACAGTGACATTTGGAATAGTAATGAAGCCCAATCAAAGTGGAAAGGAGTCAGGGACAGAGGCCTGAGGTGGCAGCTCTGGGCTGAGTGTGAGGGAGCACCTGGCACGGCCTCTGGAAGCTGCCTTCCATCGGCCTGGAGGCCAAGGGGGAGCTGAAGTGCCAGTGCCTAAAGTCCACCTTCAGACGCTCCCATTTTTACCCCCCCCCTGGGTGAACCGGGCACCGGCCCTGGGTCGGAGTGGTGCCGACACGTAAAGATGACCCACAGCCCAGGTTCCACCTGCTGTCTGTCCTCTAAAGACAAGATCTCCCATCTCGCCAAAGTCGCCCCAGGGAAACACTCAGCACCAGCTTAATGAAATAACAGAGCCTGGGAGAGAAGCCATGGCCTGTGGCCCCGCGGACCCGGGAAGGCGGGTGTGGGTACGCACTGCGGCAGAGGGCCTGGTATCTGGGGTGGGCGGCCAGGAACGCCGCGCTGGGCCTGTCCTGGTCGGGATCCTGGTGCCCACCCGCCTCTTTCCACTCCTTCCCGAACGCCTTCCGGTAATCCAGCTCGGCCCCGCGCCGCTCCTCTGGGCGGATCTGCGTGGAGAAGTGCCAACAGGTCTATGAGACAGGTCTCTAATGAATGTGTGTTGTGCCCTATTCTTCCTCACTGCCCACCCAGAGATCATCTCACTGATAGGTACAAGGTAATAATTATATTTTTCCCTTTTTAACATTGACAGTTCAGGAGTTTATTCAAAAAGAAAATTCTGTTTCCTACTTCATGAGAGTATTGGCCCACGAGCTGGTTTCTGGACTAGGCCAGGTGCCTGAGGGCCTTCAGGCGTGGGGAGCCCACCTGGAGGAGCCCACGGGGGGCGGGGGGCACATGCCCAGGCAGCGCTCCAAAAGGCACTGCCTACCCGTTTACAAGGAGGGTCAACAGGCTCCTGGTTCTGTCTTCTTTCTGCCTCCAACTCCCCCACCCCCCGAGGAAAAGGAGGAAGAACCCGGTGTCCCTCACCCTCCTTGGTGATAACGAATCGACCGGGTGACAGGTCACTGCTCAGTCTGATTCCTGTCACTAAAACGCACAGGAGCCCTTTACCTCTAAAGGACAACCACGTCTGACGCCCTCTGCAATAGTCAAATAGTGTCTTTTGCGTTTTCTGGCGCCCACCTCGCATCTGTTGAGGGTCCGCAGCTGGCCGATCTTGGCGATGATGAACTGCAGGTGGGTCTTGGCCCCGCTGCCCACAGTCAGGGGGTTCCGTAGGCAGGACAACGAGTGCAGACTCTGCAACTTATCCAGCTCGTTGATGAAGGACCACTGACACCCAAAAAAGGAAATACACATTTCAGGGTCACTTTCCAGATGATGTGAACGAGCAAGAGAAAAGCAACGTTACTGGTGGAGTCTGAGGGCCAGGATTTCATCCACTGAGCACTTTGGGCCAAGGAGAAAGAGTCTGCTGCACGAGTTAAACTGATTCCTTAATGTTTTTGGGTTTAAATGAGGAATTTCACCCAGGAAGCATTTCTCAGAACATTTAAAGTATTTTTTCATCGAAGGAACCTACAAGCGCCCGGGCGTGAGGGTGCAGTGCGGCCCCAGGGCTCGGCACCCCGAAGAGGCTTACTTGCGATATCCGATTGTCGTCGAGGACAAGGGACTGCAAGGAAGGGAACATTGCCGTTTTGCACCCTGGAAAAAGGAGAGGAAGGTCACACAGCAGAAGTGCAAGCAGCAGGTGAAGCATGGAGGACGGGAGGGGATGTAATAATCTCACATACCAGCCCCAGCATCCGGGAAATGGAGAGAAGAAATCCCAACGTCACCAAGGATCAGTCGTTCTAACCTGAAGTTACAAATGTTCGGTTTGATTGCAAGGAACCATACAATTACTGAGGGCTATCAGCCAGACTAGAGCTGTAGTTTTTTTTGCTACACCTTAGGTTTTCACCCCAGGTAAACACTCAGAAACCATGCAGTCCATCCAACTCAGGGCACGCACTGGACCCGCTCACTAAAAGTTTCTGTGCACTAACGTAACCGGCATTTTAGCCATTACCTGGGCAGATATGCTATTAGAAACAGCTGGTTTTCATCAATTGACTGGTTAGAGGAAAGGTCTAGTAACCTGACCAACTGGAGAACGTCAGCCGGCCTGCGTGGAAAAGAATATTTTCAACATGAACTTAATATCTTGTTTTCAAACACATAGCCTTAAAACACCTACATTTGCTATTAAGGAAGGTTGGGGGCAACATATTTAATTCAGGGCTTCCCCCCAATGGGGTTTTCCTCAATTAGTGGTGACGTTTAAGCTGACATTCTAATTTGTGAAGGCAATGAGTATTTTTCTAATTCTTACTTGCAAATCCTTCTGAAAATTAACATGTAATTGAGACTATTTATTCCGGGTGAGTAGATGGTGACAGGCAGTTACGTAAACCTTGTTACCTTTCTGAAATGGAAATGTTGTTGGACTTGAGGTACAGCTCCTCGAGGGCTGGCCAGCCCTGGGCACAGTGGAGCACCTGGGAGGGAAACGCAGTTCAGGGGGCGCGCCCTCTGCTGGTTGTTTCCCGTGTTTGTCACTAAAACCTGCACATGAATCCCACTGAGTTTTAGAAACAAAGTGCCTTACAAGACAGTTCATTAAAGACGAGTTCAGGCCAGATGACACGTTAATGGCCGTGTTATGAGGATAGGGACATGCCTTTCGGCACTGAACCACCCAGTGAGGTATCAATGCGTCCTGCAGCCATACCCGGACGTGGACCGAGGCACCTACAACCTGCACTAACGCGGCACATTGCTACCTGCTTCCCCAAAGGAAGGGGACTGACTGAAACACTTTCCTCAATTATCGACACCAATCGGATTTGTAGAGAATATGCTGATCAGTCAAGATTTCTCTGTGATGGCTCCTAAGGCCCCACTTGCACCTCCTGCCCTCTCCCCACCGGCATTTCCATGGCCCCTCCGGGCCTGACGCTAAATCTAAACCTGGAGAGGGGGCCACAGGAAGGAGCCCAGGAAAGGATTCGGTGGCTGTGGCCCCAAGTTCAAGACGACATCGCTGAGGAAGGTGCCTCGGTGGCACTTCACAGGTGAACTCACTGGGGTGTCCTCTGTCTGTGTCACAGTGGCTGTTGTGGATGTGTGAAGGCAGCTGACCCGCCAGAAAAGAGCGGTACCCAGCGCTAGGTGGGCGGGCCCTGGAGCCGTCCCAGTGATGCCCAGTGAGCAGCGATCCCAGAGCTGAGCTAAAGGGCTGTGAGGACTTCCCGCTGTGGGCCCACCCTGAGAACTCCTGTGGGACACCAGGTGCTGGGGCTCAGCCAGCGGCCACTCTGCGCTCTGAAAGCTGAGTGCATACTCACTGCACACTGCGCAGCCACGGGTCAGACCCCAGGGCAGGTCGGAAGGAGCCAAAACGGGGACTCAGACTCGAAGTCCTACCTCCCCACCACGACTGCCAGGCAGCCTATAGATCCTATTATGTGAGTAACTGGATGATTAAAATGAGGCCACAGTTATGCTTCAATTCTCTATTAACCAGTCATTTGAAAGCACTTCTTACTGGGTAATAAACCCAAGAGACATGATTACCTCGGCCCACGTGACTCCTGTTCTGTTGAGGACTAAGACCTTCAGTGCAGAGAACGTCCCGATGGGAGCCGGCGAGCCCGGGGGGAACCGCAGCTTGTTCTCACTGTGGAAGCAGGAGATGCAGTGCTGCCTGCGGCGCAGGAGCCAACACAGGCACTGACGGCAGCAATTTGGGATTTAACAAGAGCACCCTGAAGTGTCAACCTTAAAGTTATATCAAAACAAAGGGAGCCTGGCCGGCGTGGCTCAGTTGACCTATGAACCAGGAGGTCTCGGTTGGATTCCCAGTCAAGGGCACATGCCTGGGTTGTGGGCTCCATCCCCAGTGTGGGGCGTGCAGGAGGCAGCCGATCCATGATTCTCTCTCTTCATTCATGTTTCTATCTCCCTCTCCCTTCCTCTCTGACATCAATAAAAATATATTAAAAAGCAACAACAAACCAGTTCCTACCTGAGATCAAGGACTTCCAGGTGTCGGAGCTGCTCGGCAATACCTGTGACTTCCTCCCACGCCGACAGCAGGTTTTGTGACAAGTTGACGACTCTGATATCTAAAAGCACGTTAAGAGCAGCAATACAGAAAGAGTCACAAGAGACCTGACAGTGGTTCCCTCGTAGCTCTGAGCACACGGTCTGCACCCCCTGGGCCCGATTCTGCACAGAGGACTTTACCTTTTTAAATCGTCCAACTGTCCATTCAGAAGCGAAAAGCTGTCACATACTGCACACTAGACACAAACGTCTACAGCCCAAGTCACTGCCGCCCCATCTCGCATTGTCCAACCAAAGGGAAAAGCCGTGATGGTGCTTTTGCTTGATTAGGTCCTGCCGTGTCCCCAAGGTCCTGCCGTGGTGCTGTCACTGCGGCAGCCTCACATGGAGCCCTCACCTCTCCACTGGCCCTGTTATCCTCTGCACTGGGGGAATCCCTGAGTCACGTGGCATCTCCAGGACTACAGGGGTCAGTGTCAACAAAAGTGCTAGGAAGCTCTGGCTGTCCGGAGGGCCTCCTGCAGGTGGGATGCAGTTGCTATGACACCTACTGTCCCTGGCCGAGAAATTCAGAGCAGAATAACCAGTAGGACAGAAGGAGGCAGGTACCCGGGCGGAATGCTGGAGGGGGTGGTGGCCGTGCCCCCTCCAGAAGGGCCCCGTTTAGCAAACCGGGTGAAGAGATGGAGAGGAGCTTGGTTCAGGGCTGGGCCAGCTAAGGAGACTCTCACTTATCCGGGCAGCGACTGCCCCATAAACTGGGCTGCTAGTAGAAAGGAAGCCGGGGAGGTGGACACAGGTGGCCGACAGCAGTGTCCGCACAAGTCAGGTGATCGCTGAAAGGATACTAGGACATGTGCTGGCAATGTCTCCTTTGTCACCAGCACAGCTTACGGCACAGCTCCTCAGGGAAATGTCTCGCAGCTCGCTCAGCTGACTGCAGGAAAACAGAGTTCACATGGACCCGCACACAGGGGCGTATCCACAGGTCTTTAAAAATTACACAGCATCTCAGACACATAACAAGGACCAGAATTAAATATCAGCACCCGCCACCCAACTGGAGAAATAAAGCATTACTGAAAGAAGGAATAAAGCATTACATACATCACAAAGACAAGTCACCTGCCTTGTCCCTTTCCGTTACACGCCCCTTCCGCAGAATTAAATATCAGCACCCGCCACCCAACTGGAGAAATAAAGCATTACTGAAAGAAGGAATAAAGCATTACATACATCACAAAGCTCCCTTACCTGCCTTGTCCCTTTCCGTTACACGCCCCTTCCGCCCCGGGGGCCAGCGTGCTACATTGGGGTTTAATCTTAAGCCTATCTGAAGTTTCACTATATATTCCCATATCCCTAAACAATTAGACTATTGTTGGTTATCATGAGACTTGATATAAATGGAACCCTACTGTATATGTCCTCCGGCAAATTGCTTTTTCCATCCACAGTATACTGCTCAGCAGTGATTTAGCTCATCAGCACATGGACCCAGAACACTCACTTCCACTTTCCACAGTGGCCACCAGGGGTCACTATAGGACGCATCAGCAGGGTCAGGCCAAACCACAGCGCTGACCATGGCTAAACTGCATCATTTCATGCCCTGCAGATGCTACATGGTAACTGGGGAACTTAAAGGGAAGAGCGCAGGGAATTCTGACTCAGTGGGTCTGGATGGGACCAAGGTGATAAGGGTGTGCAGCTACATGGCACAGTGAACAGTTCACACTTCTGTCTCCCTGTCAGGTATCAACCAGCTAGAAATGTCACCTCGAAATAGAAAAGGACCAAGGTGTCCACCTTCGGTACTCAATAGTCAATACCAGATAGTAGAGTATAAAAGTCAATAATCGGCAAATCCATCTTTTCATTCCAATCTGGAGAAGCCCAACAACCCTGAGCTTGGGAAGGATTTTAATTTCCCTGAATCCTGACCCTTGGATTCCTGCGATTTCCAGCTGCTGTTTGTGCAGGAAGCACAGGCCAGTTAGGGGTCAAGGTCTGAGTGTGGACAGAGAGTCGGGTGAACTTGCTCCTGGACCTGAAGGGACTTCGCGGTCAGCTCCTCGGGTGCCGGCGATGTGGGCTGACTGCAAACCGGTAGGCGTCTGCTCTCCCATTATCAATTCCACTCACCTCTGCTTTTTTATAACAGAGCCAAAACCAATAGTTTCCACAGGTATGTTCCCAATTGTAACAATTTGCTTTTTTGCATCATCCTCTGGTTCATCTTCGTAGCGGTCCCTAAGCGCAGTGAGAAAGTCTACTCCAAAGTTTGCTTTGTGTGGACGAATAAAGGACCCTCCTGTTGGGTGGCTGGACAGGAGAGAAATGGAGCACAGTAAATGCCCACGGAGACACTGAAATAAGATGACACATGCAAAACCCTTAGAACGGTCCCTGCCGCCAACGTAAACATCTGCATTTATAAGCTTATTTACAAATATATTAGCAAATAAAGCAATTCTACAATTTTCAAAAGAAAAAGAAAATAGTCCAGCCAGCTTAGCTCAGTAGTTAAGTGTCGACCTATAAACCAGGAGGTCATGGTTCGATTCCCGGTCAGGGCACATGCCGGTTGCGGGTTCCATCCTCAAGTGTGGGATGTGCAGGAGGTAGCCAATCAATCGTTTTCTCTCATTGATGTTTCTATCTATCCCTCTATCCCTCTCTCTTCCTCTCTAAAATCAATGAAAATATTAAAAGTATATACATATCATCCGCCAAAAATGGCCATAAATGCTGGGAAGAATGCATGCCATAAGCTACTATTTTAAAGCTTTTTCCTGGAGAGCAGAGCCCAGCCCTGAACAACAGTGTGTCATCCTACCAACCTGAGCCCACCAACACCCCATGCAGCACATCCTAACGTCTCTGTGAGGATGCTGTTCTACACGTAACACACGTGGCCATCTGACATTAACACATACACCTGGAGATCTCACAAGACCGGCATTCTACTATGTGCATGTTCAGGATTTTGTCTGATCACTGCTTCTTACCAGATATCTAGGCTAGTTCTCTTTTCTTTCATTCACTTAATGGATTGTAAATTTTTAGTGAATCAATGAGAAATGTCTACATTCATCCAATTTTTCCTGATCCCCTGATTGGGGGGAATGTGAGAGGCAATCAATCGATGTTTCTCTCTCTCCCCTCCTCTTTTCGTTCCTCCCTCCCTTCTTCCCTTCCACTTTCTCTAAAAGATCAATGGAAAAAATACCCTAGGTGAGGATTAACAACAACAAAAAAAAGAGTGCGTTTTTTAAAACATGGGAAAAAAATCTACAAATAGAACAGTGTGGTGGTGTTTTTCTTTAAAAGATCAATAGAAAAAATATCCTCGGGTGAGGATTAACAACAAACAACAAAAAAGTGCGTTTTTTAAAACTTGGAAAAAAAATCTACTAATAGAACTGTGTGTTGTTGTTGTTTTAGAATACACCAAATTCTACATTACAGAACTAACCCAAGAGCCAAACACTTCTTTTCCAGCCATTTTGATTAAACACTTAACTGTTATCCCAAATAAGCATGCCAATTCATAATGAAAAGTTACCTGCATTTAAAATACACAGTCCCTTCATGACTCCCATCATGCTTGCCCTCTCGGGATTTGTCCCACTCCACTCCCAGCCAGAGTCCTAGCAGAACAAGAAACACTAAATGAGCAGTAAGTGGTGACAGAGGTACCCCTTGGTATTTGCTCTGTTTTTCTGCAAGCAAATATAGCTTATTTAAATCTAGGTATGATCCTAGCTCAGGAATTAAATTTCCAACCACAAGCAGCCATTTGCCAAACATTAGGACTGCTGGATTTCTTTTTGAAGTAACTTTTACATGTTTATTTACAACTACAGCTAACACTTGCACCGGTAACTGGTCCAAGTGCTTCAAGCACCTTAACTCATTTAGCTGTCACAGCAGCCTTATAGAACATTCAGTGTAATAGCCCCAGGAGCAACTACTAAGTCTGTGTTCAATTTCTCTGTCTTTGTACCAATTCCATCAGATGGCCTCTAAAAGAAACCCCAAAGTAG